TAATATCATCAGCAAATAGGTTTAGATTGATAGAAAAGCTTGGTCACTTCATATTATTTAAGGTAAATGATATTAGGTATAGCTTATGATATTATCACTACTTTACTATAAAGAAAATTGGTTTTGTTTAGCTATTGCCATTCATATCAATATTTTCACTGTTCGACCAGAAAGATATATAAATGAGGTTTACTACCATACTATAGTTGCTAATAGTAAGTAGTTTTTAACTATGTATTGTACATTTATTTCAACATTTCTATTGTCATCAGAAAGATTTTCAAGACTGGTCATCTAGAATTTCCGCCTTTTACGACCAGCCTCGGGGTGAAATTTTACAAGCGGTTACTTTGGCAATGCAATCTCGTAAAATGAGAATGATCGTCCGGGGCTCTCTGTTCTCAAAACTACTAGTAGTTGGAGTGCTTATTAAATATTTGATCACCGTTCCTGAGTGTCACTCGTACTCTAACAATTTTATGTATGTTGAATTGAAACACTGGTGTAGGTATTTTTTTTAATTATTATTTTTTAAAGTCTACGTACTCTTGGTCCGTACCTTTCGTTGTGTTACATTGAATTATTTTTCGTGTTTTATACAATGTGTCTTTCCACGTTCATCTACTCGAAAACAACAAACCTAGAGTATTTCTTATAAAATGAAATTATAAAATAAGTGATTAAGGAATTCATCTATTACCTATTAGGTTTACGTTCGATTTATTTAAATCCTATGAAATCTTATGGTCTGTACTCATTTACGGCATAACTCGATAGTTTTACTCTAAAGCAAATAAAAAACAACGTGTGTACTGCACAACTCAAACGAGTCAAAGGCTCATAGGCCGTATACAGAAATCCGGCGCTTATCGGCGCCTATTGGCGCTGATCCTTTTTCTATGGACCGGCGCCGATAAGCGCCGATAGGCGCCGACACACGCTGGTCCGAATAATAAATAATTTGTGTTTGAATTATTATCCTTAGATTAAATCAATCTAAGTTATAATCTTTTTATAAATCTAATAACTTTATTTTTTATTAACTAAGCGCTAAAATTATTTGTTTCGTACTTACCGAATGGTGACAACAAGTCTTTCTTTTGGAAGGATTGGTTGTTTGTGCCAATTGCCCCAATTTTTCATCAAACGGTTTTTCACTAAATCCAAAATGTAATAAAATGTTTCTTGAATCATTCTTGTATATGTATAAAATCTTTGTTAATCAAATTTAATTTTTTTTACAAATAAATGATGGTATTCTCCGAAACGTTTCCTTTCTCTATTTATAGGATGTATAGCTGTTTTTCGCATTTTTAAATAAACATTTTCTAACAAAACCAAATCATCGTCCGATGAGTCCGCCATTTTGCTTGATCTGCTTTAATCGGCTTCCTTTATGTAGGAAGGATCGGCGCCGATCGGCTTTCGGCTTTCTTTCTGTATACGGCGTAAGATATGAAAAAGACTTACGGCCCGATTACACTTGAACGTTAGCCCGAATACGAGTGCTAATAGAATTCGGGTAAACGACAAAATGTAAATAAACGGAGTCGAGTACGCCCGTATTCGGGTAGATTTCCTTTTGTTTACCCGACACCGTCTTCCAGTCCGTATTCCAGTGTAAATATTGCTTTGGGTCCCCGAATTCGAGTAATGTCTTTCGTGTACCCGAATACGGGCTAACGACCAAATCGCCGTCTCCGGCGAATAAAAAAATAACTACAAAAATGTAAGTTTTTAGGTAAAATAAGAAACCTGTTTTTTGTCGATTGTTCCTTAAATACTGGATGCAGACACATGCTAGTTACCTTTAGGGAAATCTAATTTTTAATACATTTGGAATGTTTTAGTAAAGAATTTGTTGAACAAAGTTAAAATGGAGATATTTAGAAAATAAAAAAAAAATAGCCGAAATTAATCAACATTTAATTTGTATAATGTTGGTTATATTTTTATTCTATGGGTTATAAGGTTGCAAGTGAAAATGTTACTACCTCAATATCATTTCATTTTCGTAAACATTTTTTTACTTTTTTTCTACAAAGAACTTCAAATTCGGTTTAGCAATAAAAGTGGGTATGATTATTATATCGACAGTGGAAAAGCAAAAAGCTTTACCAGTGAGTTTACCAACTAAATAATGCAATTTTTCGTGATTCGATAATCCGTTATTTCTGTGAATCGTATTCTCAAAACAAGCATAAAACAATGGCCAGTTTTTGATATCACCATCAAATTCTGGTATCTGTATAGGCGGTAATTTTGGTCTATCTTGCCTCCATACACTATCCAGCGCAGGTTTTGATTCGACGGGAATTTCTAACGATTAAGCGACACGTTCTGTACGACAAACTAAATCTTTAAATGACGACAAGGCGTCGTAATTAACCAAAAACTCGGGATTTAATTCTAATTCTAGGGTATTGATTCTATCGAGTACATTTTCGAAATCTAAGCGTAATTTATCCACGGTTTCAATGGAACACAAAAACATTTCTCTGATTGTTTCATCTTCGATTTTCGACGAGCTATCACAAATTAATTGCATACGTGCAAATAGGTTGTCCCTTTTTGCATGCAACAATTTTAATTGAGCATCCGAATTCATTTTCGGAGGCATTGCAAAAACAACAACAAACTAAATAAATATACCTAAATATTGAAGTGAAATGATAGTGCCGGAGATCAGACGCGTATGAATGTAGGTAGACGAACCTTCTCAAATCAAATTGCGACTTTTATTTTAATAAGTACTAAAGTTATTCCTTTTATGTTAGTGACTGCGTAAACAAACAAACTACCAAAATATCAGACTAAGCGGTAAGTAGGTATTGTACGCTGTATAGAGATATTATCTCAATTATATACGCGGTCAATTCAAAATGCCATACTAGCGCAACCAATCATTAAGCTCGAAAGGTTTCGCCTATAAGGGCACTCGGACTTGGACCAAGACTCTTACAGCACAACACCAAATCCACGATAGCTTAAAAATCGAACTCCAAAGTTCCTTAAAACAGCTTGGATCTTGTCAATCTAAGCAACATGATGGTGGATTCAGCAACGATAGCATCATTTGGTCTAAGATTGAAATTCTCAGGTAGATTAAGTGTCTCTATCGGCAGTTAAACTCTTTTTAAGCACCTGGTGAAAGTAAAGATTCTGAGCCCAAGCAAGCCGACACTTTTTTATGGCTGTAGTGTCAAAGATTTCCGCAGTAGTTCCCAAAGCGTGGGTAATAACACTACACTCTAGTATTTATATACACAAGAGTGGAAACCACGAAGTTGTTGACCCTATAATTGAGTTGGGTAAGACAGTCCAGTTATATAAGTTCAACTTTGAGAAAGATATCTCTTGTCAAATCCAGCTCAGGTAGTCAGCGTTCGGGCCAGTTTTTCCAGCAGCATTCTGCAGCAAAAGCAATGGGAGCGACACTTAGAGAAGAAAACTGATCGCCGTTGGGGCGATAAGATTCTCGAATCGCGATCATGCTCAGTGTGCGTGTTCTTCACCAGATATAACGACGGTCTATTGACCGGCAGGAAAGCAGGCAGGAAAGTGCTGGATGGAGTCCAGGACCGATCAGTGTGAAAACTTTGGGGGAAGGCTATGTTCAGCAGTCTTCGTATGGCTAAATGATGACAATAAATCTCTTTAATTGACATCAGCGATAACGCGGAGAGAACAATTTGATATACTTTATGTGACATAGCATTCATTTTAAATTCTGTCTAAAACAATAGCTATTTTTTTTTATCGATAATAAATTAGAAATCTGGAACGGGCCGAATAATTTTATTTAAAGTTAAGCGGCATTTAATTCATAAAGTAAAGGTACTACGTTCCTTTTTAAAAGCAATTTAGAAGACATATTTTTTAATGAATATATTTTCATTTTTTTTCGATTAATATGACGGTTTTTGTGAAAAAAAAAACTTTAATCCTGGTTATAAGTTACTAAAGTAGACTTAACCGATTCTGATTTTCCACTGTCGATATGGTTATCGTTATTGACGTTAGCGTTCAAGTACTTGTTAATTAATAAACACTTTAAAATTACTCTTATGGACGGTTTGGTACGAGAATAATATGATAACTGAGTTTTTCATTATTTTACTCAAATAAGTTTTACGAGAATAGAATTGTATGGCTATACTTACAGGTTTAAATACATTTTGATAATATGATATAAACATTTAAATCTAGTATTTTTTGGCATGGGTAGAATCTTTAAATATTATTGTAATATTTTGTAATTCCGCGAATAACTTTAGGAAAATTACAAAAAAAAATGTAGATATCTTAGTACCACCCAAGATCACAAAAATGATATTTAATTATTCATGATAATGGCACTTATCATTTTATTCTCCGGGGACGGCGAAATGTAATTGCGGCATTACAGATAAAAATAAATTAAGTTGACTAACTTTCACCTTTGGAGCCCTCAGGCAGAGATATAAATAACGCGTTTTCGTTTGTTTGAAATAGGTATAAACTATAACACTGGTTATCATTTTTTTTGAGGTAACTTTGCCTCTTATGTATTTGCATGCATAACTGAAACGGTTTGGATGAACCATGGCATAGATATGAAGTAAGCTTCCTTTTTAATAAAAAGTTTAAATTGGTAAAATAGTGGTTAGGCATTCTAGTGTATATTCATAATATGAAACCGAAGAGTTAGTTTGGTTGAACGCACTAATCTCAGGAACTGCTGATCCGATTTTAATAATTCTTTTTTAGTTGAATAGTGCAATTACGAGGAATGATATAGGCTATATAACATCATGGTGCGACCAGTAGGAGCGGAGCATCGGTGTAAAATGTTGCAAAAATGGGAGAAAAATATTCAGCGTAAACAGTAAAAAATAAACAAGAATCATGTATGACGGAATTGTTAGTTCTAAAAACAAGTCTGTGACTGCATTTATGTCTCTTTCGTGTCTTATAGGGGGGACCGCAGGACACGTCTAGTTTTAAATAATTGTACTTACCCAACTGCACCATCTCCAGTCGTTTGTCCGTCACAAAATGCCACGGGAAAGCCTTGCAAAAGCTGGCAACACCAATTTTGAGATCAGTGGCTTTACTCGAAGACGCTAATGACACAGTCTCTTGTTCCGATTCACTACTTTCATCGTTCGATATCTGTTTTAATGGTACGGCGTTTATTTCATATCTGTAATAGAAAAGATGAGTTAGGAAATAAATCCTTAAAATTTAGTAACTACTGAATTTAGACTTTTTTATTTATTTATTTATGGGTAAGCTCTTAATCCTCCATCCGGCCCGTGAGCAGAGATGGGATTTACTGTGTAGCGAAGTTACCCAGAAAGAGCTTATTCAAACATATAATCGGAAATACAGCATTTCAGGAGACTAAAATACATGCAAATGATTTTATCTACATATAGAGTTAATTGAGAATAGGAATGTTTTTATAGACGGTAGTCGGTCAAGTCGTGTCGTCAAATTAGTATCAAAGAAGTCTATCATACTTCTTTCCAAATTGCCTTTATAGTTTTGTGTCACGATTCTATACAATGAAAATGAAGTGTTCAAGAACACAATAAAGATTTTTATTTGATTATGCACACATTTAAATTAAAGTATCTTAAATACTAAGAATTCTTAAACTAATGTCATAGAAAGATATAATCAAAACTCACTACATGAAATAATCCAAAATATTAAAAAATAAAAGCAATTTTGTTTTTAGTTTTACTTATTATAGGTGGATGGAATCGACATTATTTCATTACAGACAGCAAGTTTAGTTTTTGGTTTATTGAGATATTGATATGATATTGAGATTTTATTTTGGTACAAAATTATGAAGATTCAATTACATGAGTAAAACTACTTTCTCTTTATATAATACATAGGAAAAAACCGGGAGAGGAGAACTTAATCAGGTGGGAGGATTAAACAATCTTTCAAAATTGTATTTAATACGCAAAGAAAACATCAATTCGTTCAATGGTCACATGCGATACTGTTTTGTTGTGATTGGCGTCTCGCCTGTGACCAATATAAAAATTGACTTATTGTTTGTAATACATTTAAATACAATTTTGAAAGATGGTTTCTCCCACCTGGGCAAGTCTCCCGGTTTTCCTTTACATGCAGACAGTAGATGACTGTGATTATAACAACGATAGAGTGCTTGTAGAATCTGTACACATTTATGAAAATATAATAAATGTAAGAAAAAACTATGAAGAATTTGCAAAAAAAAAACAAAACCCATAACTTTAACTCGAGATTTAAGAACAAGCCTGCCGCTCCATGTTTGAGGCTCCAAAAACCAAGAGGTTCATTTCAGGGTTGTATTATTGCATTGTTTAATAAAGTTGTTTTCCAAGATCTGATTGAGCTTTCACTGACCAAATTTAAATTTCAGGTCAAGAATACTCTTATGAATAAGGGCTATTATAAAGTGAATGATTATTTAAATGATCGTAATGCATGGGCATAGTGTAATTTGTTTTTTGTATTTTGTTTTTTGATGGGTATTAGTCATTTTTCACAACAATAATACGGTACTATTTTGATGCCGCTTCCTTTAAACTAATGTAATTTATTGTAACTATATGTCTATATTCTAAATGATGTATTGGAAGGTGACTTTAGAAGTATCTCTGATATTATTATATAACAATATATGGAGAAAAAACAGCCCTTGCCGAGGTTTTTGCCGGTTCTTCTTAGTACAAAGTCTCCTGTCGTAGTTTAGCGAAGCGATGGCGTAGCTTCTTGACCTTCACAAGTGCTTGGAACAGCCTAGACTGATTAAATGATTTTTAATTTTGATTTTTGTTTTTTTTTATTCAGATTTTTGATTTTTGGTTTTGTAACGTCTGCATACTTACTTAAATCTCCTAGGGTCGTTTGTATAGCTTCTCAGTCTTATATCAGTTTGGGTGTCATACAGCCTCTTGGCTATCATCTTAAGGCTGCCGACCAGTAAGTAAGCGACAGGCTCACTTTCTGTCGTTAGGTGTAGCTCGATCTTGCCCTCTTGCGACGTTGTGCACACGAATGCCGCTTCGTACTCCACTGTTTCGTTTTTGAGTGCATCATCCTGACGAACATTGAGTTATATTAAAAATATAATCTCGAAACCAGTCAGCTTTGCAAGCTTTGTGACCTCCATCCGGCCCGCGAGCTTACGTGGAAGACTCGAGGTTTAATAGACATGATATTTATTAAAATCAGAATGTTTCAAATTTAGAAAAAGAATGAAAACCAATGTAATGGTTTTTTTTCCATTACTGAGTTATAATTAACAGACTGATTTGACGACCAAAATAATTAACAGATTGATTTGACGACTGGTTGATTTTGCCTTAAAAAATAGCGGACCCGATAAACGATGCCTGATATAAATCTAATTCTATCTAGGAACTAGACTGCAGTGACACGTACCAGCCCCCCTAGCCAAGTGACAAACGCTTCGTAGCGAATTTGAAAATGCTACGTTATCGCCACTTTGCAATAGAAAATGAATTGTCACTCGAAATTTCGTTGAGCCTTATTCACGTGATAATGTCGTTAAATAATATCAATCCTAAATATTTCACATTTTTATTCACGCTAAACGCTAGCAAACGTAAGCCACTTGAGTTAGCCCCAGGTCTAGTGAAGAAATGAAATAAAATATACATTATTCAAATTTACTTATTGAAAACTCTTTTGAATCGTCCAATATTTGTTCCTACCGAAAGAATGGTAATAATCTAAGCACCTTCTCGTATTCACAGATTATAATGATAGATATCGGTCAAACCACTTAGGCGGATTGCAATTACATATGCATAGAATAATAAAAGGAGAAAGAAAGAAAAGAAAATATATAAATAAAGAGAGGAACACGATTTTAACATCTATCAATGTAATCTTCAAACAATATAATAAAGAACCTCTGAATATGCAAAGGATTCATTATTTTCAAAAGCATGTAACATTAAAATATGTACGTTTTAATACCGTCAGAGAACCGGTTTAATTAGAAAAGTATTAAAAGCGGAAGTTTCCAGATAAAGTTTAGTAATATTTCAACATTACTTATCGCCTTCGCAGAAGTGTTAAAAGACACGTATACCTAAATTATTAACATAAATTAATTTAATCTCATCGGTCTCGTGATAAACTGGGAGTGAATAGAGATAGATACTATCGGAGCTGCGCAACATGGACACTTTGTTACCGACACGGCACACGAAATAAACTTCAAGAAACCGTAGTTGCTATGTCCTGTAGTTGCGATCGGACACAGTCGCCGGTCGCTGCTTCTGGTCACTGGTACAATTTGTTACTGATTTTACGTCAGTTTCACAATGTGTGTCGATGAAGAAACATTATCTTTGCTGGTTGAGTTAATATTATGTTACAATTGCAAATATTTTTTTAATGTTACTTAAGAAGAACTTTTTGTTTTCAGTTACCGACAACGAACACTTTTTGATCGTCAACGAGTAGATATATGTGAAGTGGAAGCAACTGGACACAAAAAATGTTTACGCCATAACTTGGAACTACTTTACCGATTTTAATCTACTTTAAGTTTTCTTATATTTTATAGAAGGTTTTACGGAAAAACATTTAAACTCTATAAGCTTAGTTTAAAACTCTCCCTGTTAGGTGGCACTGAAGTCGGGTTCTAGGTTTTTTTTTTTGTTTTTGACGCGGTGAAGTCGAGGGACTACGGGGATCTCCCGGTTCCGCTTAGCTTTCGCTTCCGCGAAGGTTTTTTAGCGGATAGTATGTCGCAAGCGCTCGTAAGCCGCACGGACTGCTTAACGGCATCCGTGAGACTTCCGACAGGCTAGGTGTGAGGTCCGTACGTTTGCGTGCCCCTTAAAGGTGCCAACGTCTGTAAATACAGGTTTGCGTGCGTAATAAAAAAAAATATTTTTTTGTTGTTGTTTTAAGTTCGTAGTGTACATATCAACTCGAAAAGGGATCGTCACCGTATCCCTCTCCTATATACCTTGTATTGGGACAAGCCCGTATTTCTTCGTGAGGCGATAGCGTTACAATTACGATTAGTGTGCGTTGCGCAGTAGGGAGTTTCACACAAAGAATAGTTAACGGCTCGACTTGATAATGTGACGGTCCCGAGTTGATATGTCTGCCTCCAACGTAACGGACAAAGAAAGTTCTGTCTTGTCTATTAGTATATCTAATTAATGTATGTGAATTTACCTGGTCGTGTAATACATCGTGCACGCTGTCTAGTGTGGCCAGAAATTCAGTTAAATTGGTGCCTAAACATTTAAAAGCTCTCTCTAATCGGCAATTGTGTGAAAATGCCGTTAAAATTAAATATTCGCCTAGTTTCGCCATAAAATCTTTGGTGTTAACATCTGGAACAATGAAAATTTGTTGAAAAAATGAAAAAAAAAAACAAAAATTATATTCAAAAATTTTTTTTTTAAATTAATACTTTCATTTAGTGATTGGCATAGGCAACATCATTATAGTATAGCAATAAAAGCTTTATATTCAATTCATGAATAACATAAATAATAGGGGTGATGACGGGGTACAGTAAACGAAATTCTATTTAGAACCGTCAGTTAGATGATCAAAAAATAATGGACACGTATTTTTTCTTTGGGCAATCACAAAGTTATAGCGCGTCAAAGTTTGGGAGTAGGGGCTCGTGACGTCACCTTTAAGTGAAAATTGTACCAAATCGTGACGTTATGCGACTTTTCAAATCAATAGATCTCTGCAATGTTTATATTATGTGAAAAAAGAAAAAATAAGTGTCCAATACTTTTTGATAATCTACCTGATAAACGAAGGAAAAAAATTAGTCATCATCCCTATTAGGTGTATGTCTCGGTCTGTATAATTATATATTTTTTTTCTTATTTTAAAAGAACCTTTTCTGCAACTGTCGCTGAGCTAGGTTCTCTAGGGGGTAGGGGATTAGGTCAGGGTAGGCAACGGCGCAAGTGTTTTTTTTTGTATCGCAAGTGTCTATAAGCTATGGTCGCCGCTTACCATCAAGGCGAGCCACCTTTTTAACATAAAAAAAACTCAAATTTTATGCACTTGAGACAATTTAAGCCAGTTTGACTTAAATATTGTTGTGTAAAAAGATGGCTAAGGTTTTATATATCAAATTTTAAATCTCAATATTTTTTTACTAGAAAAATATCCACTCTTCAGGTTTCAGACGGGGTGACGGGACGTGTACCGAGTGGATTTTATTCTAGTAAAATTTTCTTTGGGTTGGAGCATCCAGAAGCTTTAATGCTTAAAATAAAAGTATAATATCTCATTTTAATTATGATATAAAGAAAAGCGTTGTCTATTTACTATCAGTCGCCCGTACAGCATCATATATCTCTTGTAAATATGCATAATTTCTACACGTCCTCACGTCATCAGGCAATCTCCGTCTGTAACAAAACAGCTGTTTTTATTAAGTTGATTATACTGACGAACACAGAACACTGAAGCGCTCGTCTAAAGGTGGATTTAGACTAAAAGAACATAGAGCTAGAGCTAGAACTAGAGCATTCTTTCGTTAATATCTAGTGTAAACTAAAACTTGACGTATCTATTTACATCAAACGAACACCGAACTAGAACAAGAATGTTCTTTCTTAATCTTTTGGTGTAAACAAGAGCTAGATCGAATGTTCTTTGCTTATTCGAGTCAATTCTTTGGTTGGTTGGTAGTGCTTTGCTATCCTTTTTATTTTGGTTAGGTTAGGGTTAGGTTATTAATTGTTTTCCTCGGTTTATATTTGTCCATCAAAAAGTGCATACTTTTAAATGCAAACCATTTAGAGTTATAAGTACAATCGGCACCACTACCTGATTTCGTACTCAATGTTTTTTGCCTTTCTCGTCGGTAAGATGCAAGAAGCGAGTCCATCTTTTTTTTTAATTCTTCAACATTATTACATTCCAGTAGTGTTGCGATTTCCTGCCAAGATCTTGTTTGTAAGTTGTATTTTTATAATGTTCATATGTCGGATCCCATAGACATCTGGCATTTTGGTAGGCTTCTATCATTAATAAACATTTTTCTTGAGACCAATCCATAATTTAATTGATACGATACGTAAGTAAACAATCGCTAGAACACAAGAACACTTTGATGAGACCGCTCAGTGGAGCGAGCGCGTCCGAACACGCTAGAATGTTATAAGCAACTGTTCACGCGCTCTTGCGCCGTTTATATCGAGCGAGCGAGCATTCTTAGAATATTCTATAGAATCTTTGCAAACGCACTAAGAACAACGAAAGAATGCTCTACGCCTGTTTACACTAGAAGAATTTGACGTAGTGGGGATAGAATGAGCATTCGCTCGTTTGGTGTAAATCCACCTTAAGAAATAACTTCTACCTTACAGAAGATAGCTAAAAACATTAACACGTTTCCTTACTTGTTGTGTTTCTACTACAAAATGAAAAGTTTCTAGAAGGACCCCTTCCACCATCAAGAGAGAAGAAACAAAAGAGATTGAAGAGAGGTAGGGCATAGCGGTTTTCCCGCTCGAATTGAAGCGCCCGTCCAAGTACGGCTCCTCCACTTTTATCTTCCGCAGTGAATCTGATTTTACTGTGTAAATGTTATGTATTTGTAAGTTTGTGTGTGTGTATGTATGTATATATGTTATTGAATGTATTTTTAAATTAAAATACTTAGGTTTCATGTAAAGTTGTATGTACACATGTGACTATTTACTCCAAGCCATATCACACCCAAACCTACAGTCTCTGTATAACTTTTTGTACTCACGGTTTTCATGCAAGAAATTGCTCTTACCGATAAGACCGCCAATTATGATGCTTTTGTTAAGTTTATTGTTTGTTAATGTTATGGAGTTATGTTTTTGGTGTTATAATAAAGTGTTTATCTATCTCCACCTTACAGAAAAATAAAATTACCTTTTGGTGGTGTTGTGTTTCTGAAGGTGAGTGAGGTTTCAGGGCTCCACGGGGTAGGGGTTTGGGTCAGGTCAACGGTGCGAGTGATATTTTTGGTATCGCAATAGGGGTGATGACGGGATACAGTAAACGAAATTCTATTATGTCCGTCAGTTAGATGATCAAAAAATAATGGACACGTATTTTTCTTTGGGCAATCAACCAAAAAATAACAAAGTTATAGTGCATCAAAGTTTGGGAGTAGGGGCTCGTGACGTCACTTTTAAGTGAAAATTATACCAAAACGTGACGTCATGCGACTTTTCAAATCAATATATCTCTGCAATGTTTATATTATGTGAAAAAAGAAAAAATACGTGTCCAATACTTTTTGATAATCTACCTGATAAAAGAAGAAAAAAAATAGTCATCGTCCCTATTGTCTACAGGCTATGGTGGCCGCTTACCATCAGGCGGGCCACACGCTTTTTAGCCACACAAAAAAAATGTTGGCTAAGTGACTTACGTGCCTCTTAGTTTGTTTATAAGCTGGGCGCTTTATATAGCACTTAGCCTTATAACGGTTCATGAGATAGGTACACTGACTAAAAACGGACGTATGGACGATGTACGATTGGCGTACAGACACACATCGAAATCAATTGTAAGAACAATCCATTATCACCTTTTATCATTCACGCAACCCTGAAATTGATATCCTTTGAACCTCGGCAATAAAGTAGCATGGTTAAGAGTTTTCCTCGGCTCATATTGTTTTATAGCGACATGTAAAAGAGCTATAATGTGTAATATACTCGAAACAAAACGATGGGCTAAAGTTAAAATCCATTGAGTTTTATGTCATGTGCTGAGATAACGACAACTGTAACTATAGTCACGGTAATATTATAAATACAGTATTCTATCTTCATACAAACGGTTGGAAAGCGTGTCATACCTACGCCACTCGCGAATGCGTCGCAGCGACGACCGAACGGTGTGAATTGTTTTTTAAGCAGTTAGCCGTGCTTAAACGTGCGATTTGTATTGTAAATATTTGGTTGAATTAAGTAGATACGTACATAATTTAATATGGCAAAGAGCAATACTCGATATTGTGCTGTTTTTGGTTTCTTGAACTCTTCAATAACGCACCCAATAAAAAATAAAAAAACATATCAATTGTAAAGTAGCTGCAGGTATATATAACCAAGTTACAGATATTCCCTTTTCTGCTCGTTGCCAATGTTTCTCTAAAGTATTTTTAATTGAACTGTATATACGAATGCGTATTTACTATTACTATTAAATTTAATAATAAAGGTTTACGTACGTCTCAGTCGAGGCGTAAATATTTTTCTGTTTCAAATTATTAAATATTACCTAAAAATAACATGTATTTTATTGAACACTTCCTAATTCATTCACAACATTTTCTTTCACATATAAAATAAAATATTTACCATCACAAAACTAGAAAAGACTCAATTATGTAGATGAAATTAAAATACTGTAGGCGGGCAGCCCTACCGCGTGGATACGACCCGTTCGGCCGTAGGCAGTTATTTCAAGGACAGAGCCGAGGCACAATACTGTATAGATAATATTACCGTGTTATAAGCAGAAGACAAAATTTAGTTCTTCTTTTCATTATGTATGATTGAATAAAGTTAGAAGTGAAACAATAAACATGTTTAAAAAATATATGCAACAGATAATGATTTAACTACCTCCTGACGACCGCTATGGCTGAGTGGTTTGTACCCTGGGTTTCATGGTGTCGCCGACTCGAGAGGTCCCGGGTTCGAATCCCGGTGGGGGCAGATGTTTGAGTGTTGAATACGAGCATTTGTACTCCAGTCATGGATGTTCAATATGTATTTCTATATAAATATAATTATATTATGTACTGTATATGTATTATCGTTATCATGGTATCCCATAACACAAGCCTTACAGTCCTTACTTTGGGGCTAGGCTAAATGGTGTGAGTATTAGAAATATTTATTTATAATTATTTTTTCTAAGAACAGACAATGTGAAACATTGCATGCGAAGCCGAAGCAAGAAAAGCTTGACATAATAATATTATAAAGACTAGTCATTGCAAAAGCTGCTTTAACTTCCACGATCACAGACCAAACGCGTGCTACTGTAGTATTTATTTAGTTTCTTTGTCACTAAGGGCACGTGTATTCTAAGCATGAACCAATATCGAATTAGAATATTTTGTATCGTTTTTTTTGAACGGTTCACTTGCTCTCTCTCATCTCAATTTAACGACAACTAGATTTAGCCCATACAGTGATGTCAAATTGACCTTGACGTTTGGACATTTTCTATGGAATATACCTAGCTTTAATTGAACCGAGATTTAGCAAATTTGCTGCAAGTGGCCCAAACTCTAAATGACGTATATTTATTTATTTAGATGGAGATGAAGGAGTAAGGATAAAATAAAACGAAATCATTAAGTTTCAAAACACAAGTGCCCTGACCGAACTTAAAAGTAAAAAAAAAAATACTATTCATAAAAGTACTTTCATTTGAGACTTTTTAACTTGGTTTTTTTGTAGTTATTTTTTTACTTTTTGTAAAATTTTATGTAGAAAAAGCGGTAGGTAGCGCTATTTGAATAAATGTAGGTTTATTTTGTTGAAAGTACTTTTTATAACAACGAGGGTTGCTGCCTGCTCGCCAATTTTATTGTCTGTAGTGATAAATTGGTCTGGAAAGTTCTAATAGAAGAGACAAAAATTCGTTCAGAATCTATATTATTAACAAACCAGCGTAACATAAAATATATACTTATACAATGCTCATACTAGATAAATGCATTTGATAAATTCGTCTCGTTAAAATGTCACAACGAACCAACTCAGCAACAAATTGGCTTGCTCTTGCCATCTAATGAATTCTGAAATAGGATTATACAGTTTTTGTTTTATATTTCGCAAACAAAGTAACTTGCCGACTTATTTTTTTCTTCTTTCATGTTAGCATCGCAAAAATTTAATAAGATCATTATTCCTTATATGAAATATTCAACGAAAAACACAAACCGTCATTAAACTTGGAGACTGTAACGTGAAGTTAGTGTAGATCTGCTTTCCATCGTTTGTCTTATATGTATATTGTAAACCGTTTGTAATTACCATAAGTCACCATACCACAAGTCCGAACTGAACCGCAGACCACATGTCCCAGTTGCAGACTTCAGGCAACACTACTAGTTTCTATGAATCTCTATGAAATTGATTCTAAGTGCGGCGACATGCCGCGGCTGCACAATGCATATAATGCACGGTCAGCCGCAGGCGCTAGCTGCAGTGTCGCCTGCGGTTGTTGCCTGCAGCCTATTGCGGAATTGTACCTTTACAATGCGCTGCTTTACGGTCAAATATTTTCATATTAAAATTAAACAAAAGGATTTCACTAAAGCAATTTTAACTGTTACACTGTAAACACGTAAGGATAATTCCATGAGAATGAAACCTTAATTGGGGTTTCATTTTATGACAAAACCGGCAAAGATGTGATTCACACTCAAGTTTTATTACGAAGCGACGATAAAATGTGTACACTCGTTATTCGAAATAACGTATTAGTTAACATAATCACTGTAATAACAGTTAAATCTGGACAACTCACACCAATTTGTAGTGTAGGTTTGACCTGTTTGAATAACATATTTAAGCTAATAGCTTTGTCACTGTATTTAATAAAATTCTTGATGGAGGGACAATTCAAAAAACATATAATACCCCCTTATTAATAATCGCATAATAAATTTGCATTAGATAATCCATGTTCTTCTTCTTTTTCCTCTTCTTCTGCTTCTTATTCTTCTTCTTCTTTCATGATGGCTTGCGTTGTGACTTAACACAGCTCCGCCAATGTCGAGTGATCAGCCATTACACGTAAGGGATAATCCATGTTTTGTCTGTTCGTTGAATGACAAATGGCATTTGAGTGACATGAACAAAACACGGCGTAACTAGTATGAGCTTATTCCTCGTTTATTCCTCGGGTATGTGTATAAATTTGTTGTAAATGAGACCTATTTGAATTCTATGTACACTTGACCGCAAATTAAACCGGTCCAGAAATGGTAGAACCCCATTAGTACCTTGAAGCTATGATTCGATTTTCTCAAAAAGTATAACATTTACAGCTATCAAAGTTCTGCCGATGATGGTTTGGATGCACCAGAGGCAACGCCTTCATCTAGTCCCACGAGTACCCTCCGAACATATATTTCCATTATTCTATTCACTTTTAAGTTTAATCACTTCTTTTACATTTAAACGTAATGGTTACAAATTGCTAACAACATATCTATCACATCTACACCAAACAAAAAATACACACACCTTACATTAACTACGTGTTAAACTTTATTCACTTAAATCCAGCTCCAAAAGCTATGCCAAATTAATAAGGACAAACGCTAAGCTACATATCCAAATAGCCTTAACCTATTCAGTGCGAGTCTCAATTAATTTGAACGACCATTTATGGTCGGGTATTGTGCTTTTTGAACAATACTATCTAATGATGAAGAGCCTATACCACAATATGGATATATGGATCGTTATGCTCTTTTTTCTGTGCTAGTTTGTGATACAGTTGAAGAAATAGATGACTCGTTGAACATTGATAGCTTTTCTTTGAGCCGTTTGGAAGACTGTACTACACACATTACGAACGCAAAATGGGATTTTACATTACTGACCTACAATATAAAAAGTCTACATAGGTTCTTTGACAATCTAGTTGTAATGCTCTACCAGCTTACAACCAACCATCTTTGATGACATTGTCCCTACAGAATGTTGGAAAGGTGACTGCAAGGGAGTGAAGCAACTAGATGGCTACAATGTATCATCATACACTAACCTTAACATAAATAGGGCAGGTGGAGTCGTTGTATTTACTAGGGATAATCTAAGTGCGCACGCTGCAGAAATAGATTTTAAAGGAGAACCTAATGTTATTATGGTAGATATTGTGGGACTTACTTCTATTCTAGCAATTATTCGATCACCATTTTCTGCAGACATAGCTACATTTTGCCCTGTTATAGCGTAATGCATATCAAACTTATGTTTAAATTGGCAGCTACCAAAATTGGAAGTGAGATTCATTTTACATAATCGTCCTACTGGCCTGTTGCTATGTTACGAGTATAAAGAAAATGAAAAGCCACCACCAAATCTCTCAAACGTGACATCTCATATGACACATAAGGTTTGTAATATCACACACTTATGAAGGCTTGGTTGGCTACCACAAGGCGTTCCCGGAACGTGCGTGGTGTATTATGACAAATACAATAATGTCTTATATCAAAGGGATAACGTGACAATGAGAAGTCTAGCAAATGTTTGAGGCGAGATCAGAATACTAAATTGGAAACCTATTTTTGTGATACAGTTATTACCAACGTGCTAGACCAACTAATAGCAAATGCGAGACCATGTAGACAATAAGTGTTATTTTCATTAAATTTTTATATTGTTACTGCATTTTTTCTATAAATAGGTCTGACATGACTATATCACCCACCACCCAGCTGATGTTAAGTAACGGTGGAGTCCAGGTAAAAAGATAGCTGGTGCAAAAGTGTTGCCTTCCACACCAGCTATCCTCACCATGCTGGCCTGCACATATTTTAAAGGTTCTGGGTTGTAAGAGGAAGGGAAGACGTGCATCGATTTTTGATTAATCTCATTCATAAAGGTTTATAGCAGTAAATCATCAAAGAAAACAACATACTTCCCTTTTTGAAGGAGGAGAAGGAGCAATGAGACTTGTTGATGGAAAAAGTTTAGTAAACAAATATTTTACATACTTATAGAAAATATATAGGAGCGTTGAATTGATTAAAACAAATTACAGATCATGCCTCTGTAACACTTATACATTAAGTAGGTATATCCTATAAAAGAAGAATCTCATAAAAATGTTTTGTCTTCTGTAAGATGAAAGTACATATTTTAGAAAGACGATCTAATACAAGCAAAAAATCTGCTACGTCCTACCTCTCTTGACTCTTAAGGGGATATCTTAATATTTGATGCTATATATGGAGCGCGATGGCGCAGCTGGATAGCACGTTCGGCCTGCGATCGTGAAAGTTAGGCAACTTACTCAATAATCAGTCAATGGATGAGTGACTAAAAACATCTGCTAAAGCTTCTCCGTGCTTCAGAAGTATTGTTAAGACATTGGCCCCGTCTTTATCTGCAATCGTTAGCACTCACCAATCCGCACTGGGCCTACGTGGCGCGGCATGACACGACCCAATCTCCCTATTCCATCCATAGGGAAGTTCTATGCCCCAGCAGTGATCTTAACTTTAGAAAGTTAATTCAAAGGCACTTACAAACAATTATATTTTTCATGGTATTCCGCTTGGTTCTTTGTGAGCGACGACACAGCCGCATGGAGGCACTCGTTCTGAAAAAGAAAAGGAATTACAGTTTGGTTTTTCTTAATACAGCAGTATCTGACTATCCATCACTTTAAGGTTAAGAACTCACAGCGCGTTTTTCTCACGCGCCGGCAGTTGTAGGACCGCAACTCGCGTAGAATTTGAAATTATAAGTAAAACGCAAAAGTAAATTTCACGGCGCTTTACGCCCGCAGAGCTCGTGGATGTTTGCCGCACTAACTGTGGGTGCGCGTGTTACCTGATTTCCTGCAGACGAGGCGTGTTTCGCCCGATCTCGCAGCCACGGCGACTGTGGGACCACAGATGACCCCTCCGTGACTTCTCAGACTAAGTTACATTTACCTCCTTGACAAAGGGAGGGCAAAGGCTATATTTGGTCAGGCAAATAGAACTAAAGTTCTATTAAAGGGATTAAAGCGTTTCAAAGTTTTAAATAGTGGATCATCATCAGCCTGTTAATATCCACTGCTAGACATGGCACAGGCCTGCTTTGTGGATGGAATACGGGAGTGCCGGTCATGACCTACCGAGTTGGTTTTAGAGCGGATTTTTGGGTTCTAACGACTGCAGATGCAGTTCGGAACCAACGGCTTAGCATGTTTCTGTAAGGTGGAGGTTACTTCTCCAGGCGGGTGCTCCAATGCGAGCAGAAAATCAGCTAAACCGTAAACTAGACAAACTTACACCGTAACACATTGACAACGATTCTAACTAGACATTGAAAAATGGAAAACAAAAAACCTTTTTTCTTTTTTGTTACAAAATAAAATATCAAAAGTCTCAGAATTCATTATGGGAATGATGGTATTTGTAAGCTCGCCAATAAGCTTACGGGACCTTTTCCGATCCGATGAGCAATAAATAACACTGCGAACGGTTGGTACGGAGCTGGCCCTAATTTTTCGAATGAACGGAAATCGGCCCTGAAAACCTGAATAAGTAGTATATTGAGTTGCTCCACGTTGCGATGTGAATTCTTAAGAAGGCAAGTTCGAGGATATTGGTCGCTTCGCTTTTACTCCCATACTGGGCAATAACAATAATTCAATTCTTTAATATTTTTTCTATATACAATATTACTTTTATCACTTAAAAGTTTTTGTAATTAATAAATAAATAATAAATATTTCCAACACTCACAGCAATTAGCCTAGCCCCAAAGTAAGCACTATAAGGCTTGTGTTATGGGATACTAGGGTAACGGATAGAATAAATATACTGTACATATATAAGTATATTTTTAATAGAAATACATATTAAACATCCATGACCGGAGTACAAATGCTCGTATTCATCACACAAACATCTGCCCCCACCTTGATTTGAACCCGGGACCTCTCGAGTCGGTGACACCATGAAACCCGGCGTACAAACCACGTCCGTTGTGGCGCTGTTCAATTTTTCATAGAAAAGTTCTTGACATTTGACGTGTATCAAGATCGAATTCAAAAATTCGTATTCGATATTGGTTCGTGCTAAGGTTACGGATTTTATTTTAGTAGATTGTTTTGTCCTTATTATGTGTGTTTTTGATTCTTTATCTCTTCGATACGTCAAGGGAATGTGTGCATTTGTTCGTATAGCGAGGTCACTGGTTTGATTCCAACCTACCCAATTCCAGAAAGGAATTCTTAATATATAAAATTCTATCATTATGACTGTGCTTAAAATAAAAGTTCTTCTATCAGTTTTAAAATTATGATTTTAATTATCAAGTTTCATCAACTATATTTTTACGCATATAAGCAACCATAATAATGTCAATTGAAAATTTTCTAAAAGCAAAACCAAAAGTAAAAGTTAAAGAAGTAATTACATTTTTTCTGGTAGTTTACCTATTCGCTATTCGTAAATGTACGAAGTGAAATTTTGAAATCAATAAATAACAAGAAATAATGAGTTCTTGTTATTAAATCAATAAATAACAAGAACTAATGAATTCTTGTTATTTATTGATCTCGAATGCAAGAATAAATATAGTTTCGGGGTCCGTTGTCACTGAACTTTCCAAACTAAAGCGAAAGGAAAATAACACTTTATAGAATTGTCGTATCTCTTCGTATTCGCATTTTCTTATTTATGACGGCAGAATTATTTGAACTTCGGGTAAATTCTTTTTGCTTCCTTCAAAAACAATGAAATCTATGTTATCTTTTTTTTCTATGGGAAGGAGGAAAGGATAAAAAAAAACTGCTCACCCACTTTATTTTTATTTGTGTATTTGGACTTTGGACTTGGACCTGTTCGATCGGTACTACGATGCGCAAGAGCGCATGAGCTGAGTCATATCAAACATTATACCGTAACATATTATTCGTCTTAGTGGTTGAGCCGTTGTGCAATTCGCCTAACTAACGCCAGTCCTTGTGTTCGAATCTGATAAACCGAAAATTTCTTCTTTTCCTCTTTTTATTTTTTGTTGTTTATTACCGATTTTTTTACCTTTATATATTGTTTTATTATTATACTTTTGTTCCTCGATGATGAGTATACAGCCTTGTTAAAGCAACATAATTTTGTTGAGATTAAAATTTCCTTGGAAAAAGTTGGAAATATAAATATACTTTGGATTAAATCTAAAGAAAATATAACTAGAAAAAATTCCACGCGGACCAGGCAGCAGACGGGACTCGAACCCGCACCCTTCGCAATCCGGGCGAATGCACTGACCAGTTATGCTACCGCGGCCCTCACGGACCGCGTGGAATTTTTTCTAGTTATATTTTCTTTAGATTTAAACATCAAGCAGTTACATGCTTTAAAAATAATAAAAATTATAAATATACTTTGGATTGATAAGCAAGGCGTAAAAGCTATATTATTGCGCTGATTCATCTCGTTATATATAGTTTTGGCATCGCAAATATATATATATATATATATATTTGCGATGCCAAAACTTAAGAAGCCGCCTCCAGCCTCACCTTTCCTGCAGCCATCTAACGTTGAGACGAATAATATTATTTTTATCTTTTCGACTGGCAACACTGAAGAGTGCAATTGTCAAATTTTAATACTCGTATTTAAATTTATAATTAATTATTTTAATTTTGTTTGTTCGTGTTAAAGTTACAATAAACAGTGAGATAATATTGTGTTAGTTATGTGAAATTGAAATCACGAAGTTTCAACACAAGGATTTTAAATAAACAACACATCAAGTTCTCATCAAACTATCAACGGATGGTTGAAGAAATAACGGCTCTGATAAGCAATATTAGCACCAAATATTCTGGAATGGCTATTGCTTAAACCGGGGGAGTATTGTTTTCATTATTTCATAAATAGATAACAGTTCAAAAATACAATAAGTATTATATTGAGTAATTCTCATTTCATCAATTGTTTACCAAAATATATGATAATAAACAAATATTCAATATTTGATTTGGCAAAGATTGAATAATTAACTTAAATTTGACATCACTTACTTCTGTCACATTAAGCTGGATACAAAGTTAAAATAAGTATATTAAATTGAATCTGTTCTGTCTACCAACTTTGTTTGAGCTGTGAAAGCGTACATAATTGCTTTTTAAAGTATTGAATATAATAAATACTATTAGTTAATACTGAGTGCATTAACTTTTCCCATAGTTATCTACCCTCTTCATAAAAAAGGAATTTTGTTTTCCATATTATATTATATATCAAAAGAATTGCCTTTGTCTCTAAAATATATTAAAAGAAACTTATACAGTTTTAATTATTTCAGATTTTTATACAAACACTAAAAATGATGACCCGCAAAGCTACAGCTCAAAACACTGACCTTAAATTAAGGCAAACCCTGGAAGAATTGAAGTTAACAAAGGAAACTTGCAGCCAGCTCCTTCGTGAACGTGATGAGAGTGAAACTGAAATCAAGAAAATTATTGACAAGAATACCCAGCTCAAAATTGAGCTTTCCCAACTACACTCTCAGCATGTAGAAGTTGTTTTACAACGGGATGAACTGAATTGTACTATCAGTACTTATGACCAACAGTTTGGCACTTTTGAGAGGGCCCTACAGCGTATTACAGACCTAGAAAAAGATCTCTGTGCAGCAAACAAGCAAATAGCTAATTATACAGAAGCTCAGCAACTACAAGAAACTGCACACACACAAAGCCTCTTTGAAGAACTAATGGCATCTCCTGGAGGACCCTTAAAATTGAATTTAAATTTAGAGCCTGTAGCTAGTATGAAGGTTTCACATAATAGTGTAAGTGCGAAAAAAATAAAAAAATATATCCGAATCAGTAAATTCATAAAAAAAAACTGAGAAACTTGTAAAAAAAACAATTGTTTTTATTAAAATATATCCCTTAGAAAGGAAAAAATTAACCTCATTGACTCTCTTGACATATATAATACAAAATTACATGAAAGTAGGCAGATGTATGACCGAGATACAAAGAAATTACTATTAGAAATTCAAAATTTACATGAGTCGTTAGAATCAATTAAACATAAATAAATATGCTAGTGCACAAAGTCAAATAACTGAGCACATAAAATCTGCAACAGAATTAGTTGAACTGTGCAATTTCAAAGCAGCACGTTATGACTCATTGATTAAAAGTCAATTGATTGGTTCTTCAAATCAATCATCATTGTCATTATCATTAGAAGAAAATGTTAATGTAGATAATAATCAAGTTTCCCAAATTTCTGGTCATTCATCAGTCTATTTACAAAAAAATGGCACAACATATAATAATTCTCCTTTCAAGCCAGCGCTTTCTGAAAACTCAAAGTTGAATAAAAATAAAACAATTATTTACTCAGTCAAGTTAGGTCAAGGGCTAGGACTATTATTAAAAAATTACAGCGATGAAAATATTATAAATATATGTACTCCTGGAAAATCATTTAATGACATTGTTAATAACTTGACCTACCATAATGTGGATAGTTATACTAACCTATTGTTTTTGTGTGGTGACAGTTCCAAATTATCAATACGGGACATTACAAAAAGTGTTGAGCACTTATTAAAAATACAATCTAAATCAAATTG